AATTAGATTTAGATACGTGGTTGATGATTATCTTAGTTAATTAAACAAGATAATATTAATTTGCAATGCTATATTCGAGTAGGTTACCAGGTGGCCGATACTACACCTAAATCGAGTCTATTTTCATTTTTAATATGTTATAAGGTAAAAGTACGATTTAATTGGATTCAAAGATTGAAATGAATGCAACATTTTCATTCATCTTACAAAATATTATAATAGTTGATGCGAATTAAATAAAAAAGTTGTACCTATATTGGATAAATCTTATGCAATATTCGAAACAGAGGTCCTGTACCTAAAGGCTATAAGTGATGTGTTGACTGTTATTAAATAAAATCAGGTATCTATAGTGGTATTGAAGATTCTATATTGCCAAATTGGAAACAGATTGGAACATCATTTTATTGGAATGATAGACAAATTGAAATCAGGAACAGTAAAAGCTGTTATTATACACATATAGATTATAATCAATAAATCATACAACTCGTGTCTTGTATAATATAAATTATTTACTAGTAAATCTCATCTATACCTAGATTAAAATAGTGACACAATTCAAATAAATCTAACTTAATACAATGTCTTAAATTATATTGATTCGAAAACTTCATATTATATTTTGTTTTCTCATACTATAATTACTATGGTGTAATTATTTATAACTAAATATTTTTCTTCTTATTTATTTTACCTACTATTTTATTTCTTAAGAGTTTGTTATTATGTAATTTATTCAGATAAAAGATTCTTTCATCACGACCTAAGCAATATCATGGAAATACCTACAAGTAATTACATTTTATTTTTTAGTTTAAGAATAAGTATTTAATAACTTATTATTTAATTCTTTGTATCATGTTTTATTATGTTAATTATTTATTACTGATAAACATAGGAAATGTTAACAAATATAATAGTAAATATTAAAAAAAAAAATTCTTAAGAATTCCATGAATCCATTTATTATATTGTCTGTTTATAATTAATTATAATCTCCTTGTATATATATTTTTCTGAAAATATGGCGTTTCAACGAATTAATATGTATGCAACTGTTTATAATTGGTTTTTTTTCGAGGTCAATCACTGCAGTTTTGATAGACGTGTTGATTATTCTTAATTCAACGAAAAACATTTTGAATAATAACATTTGCTCAATAAATTTCACAAAAATAATGGGTTCCCACCATATACTAATGTATTTATGTATTTGTCATAAAATGTTCGCTAAAACAATAACATAATTGTTAAAATCATAAATGTGTTTTTATATGGCGTCACATAAATTTTTAATATATTATTCAAAACATAATTACCTATGAAATTTGTATTAATTTTTATGATTGATTGTGCAATATATAATAGCATTTAATATATTAAAACCTGGGACGAAACTAGGCTGTTTAAAACAGAGTTTCCCGAATGCCTCCCAAGTGCGTCCAGGATAAAGTATCACCCAACTGTATTAATTGAAAAAAGAAAAGTTTTTTGACATATTATGTATTATATATTATATGTAATATTCGTATACCAACAATTATTGACAATTTTAAGTTTAAGTTTATATTGTGGGAAATACATTTATTGCTTCGATGTTTTTTTTTTTGTTAAGTGAGGCTTGGTCACAATTATGTGATTGATTGCAAGGTTTTCCTTGCACTTGTTGCATGTAAGGGCTGGTTTTTTGGTGATGAGGAAGGAACGTATTAGATTCGTGTATCGAATTCTAAATCGGATGATTATTACATCGAGACATTTTTTTACAAATTTATTTTTAAAAATATGGGCGGCAATCATAACGATATTTTTACAGCTGGATGCAACTAATAACAACCTAAAATTGATTACACTCAAAAAATCAATAGGTAGCGTATTTGCGAGTATTGATCACTATAGATAATAGAAGAATGGATTGGCCATACAACCTTATCAGGCGGGAATTAATTCTTTGTCTTAATTTATTAATTCTTCTATTATCTATGTTGATCTTAATTTAAAATAATCTTATCACGATTTTGACGAACGAAATTAAATATTTAGAAAAACATTAACTATTAGTAGGTACATTTATTACACTGTTATATTGTTATAAGAATTATAATTTATTATTAATTATTATTAACAGAGTGTCAAGTGGGATAATAACATACACAATAGAAACTTAAGTATTATATCATTGTCTATTAATAAGCTATTTGTAATGTGTATAATATAAGTAATCATACTAATTTATTACTGTATATTATCTTAAATATGGTATCGTAAAATAATTATTTTTTTTAAGCTTTATAGTAAGTTGTTGAAATAGGTAATTTACATTTGGAGTGTTAACAATTTGGCTTTCAGCTACAGACTGCGGAGTCCTTTGGGCTATGGCCTGTGATAAAGGTTATGGTACATAAAAAAGGGGACTGTCTTGGAATATCCCCATTTGAAAAGATATTTTGGGACGGGAAAAACAATGACCCTTTTAATCTTTCTTTAAGCAATTCATCAACTGATAATAATCTTGGATGCACTACAAAGTACAGTCCTATCGTTTTAGGAATTTAAGTACAACAACTACTAAATCAGAATAGTAAATTTGACAAAGATTAACATAATTAAATTATTCAATCGAATATAATTAGTCAGTAGACCAACAACTTTCAGCATCTTGGCGGCCATATTTTATAATATTATTTTAAATAGTATTTTTTTTTTTTGTAAATAAATAAATTATTTAGAAAATAACTACTCAAACCGACGTCTTCGATTGTTTTATGCTAGGTACTATCAGTTTCGAGGGAACTACACAAAACAGTTATGAGAACTAAAAAATTTGTGAAATCAGAAATACGACCTTCTTTGCTGCAGCGGGCAACATACATTTAGCCATATTGGTACTTGTCAAATTGTAAATATACTAAAACTATAAATATCCACTTTATTACAATGATGAATTATCAAATAATCTGAAACCACTAATTAAATATAAGAAAAAAGATAGATTATTAAGTTGAAATATATAGTATTCGCCATTCGGTTTACCTATACTTACAAACTTCAACAGTTTATAATTATTACATACAAACAGTATAGAGATAATTAAAACTTTTAAAAGCTTTCTAAAAATAAAATGTTTAATGGTCTACCTATGTACCTAGTATTATCGAATTAAATAAACAATATTCAGTGTTGGGTATAGTTGGGATACTTACATTTAATAGTTTTAAATAGGTCGTATAAATCGAATAAGCACCATAGAGTTAAATTGCCTCATTAAAATTTAGCTCTAAAAAACAAATCAAATAATCAACGTCTGATTCAATTATATAAAATATAATTTGAAATAAAAATTTAAAAACAGATGAATCTTTAAATCATTGGGAACATTGTTATCCGTGAACGAGCAAGGGGGATTGAAAATGTTACTTATATTTTTAAAATATATAATTGGAACTTTTTATTTTATCAAAAACAATTTTTGCAATCATTTTTTTGTGGGGGGGCATACTCCCACAAGGTCACGCTGTCCAGAAACTAGTTATACATATTATATTATACCTACTATAGTTCAAAAAACGCACTAATTACATATTATTATCTTTTAGATGATAACGGTATTAATTCAATCCTACCTACAATAAGATATAATAAACATATTCAAACAATAACAATGATTCAACAACAAGTTCACAAATTGACAAAATATGGAAAAATCACGAAAATCAGCAAATTATTTTGAGTAAAAATTCATAAAAATTTTTCTTTTTAAATCTAAGATTTGAAAATCTTATACAAGATTACTCATAAGTTTGTTTACCTTTATCAATAAAAAAATATCTACAGGAAGTCAAACTAGGACTGCAATGCAGTTCGCTGATTGCAAGAAATTGAGCTGAGCGAGTTAGACTTGTTAGATGTTCTAGAACTTTTGTTTTGCAGATAATTAAGTTCCAGTCTTTGTTGATCGATAGAAACTGCCACTGAATCGTAGTTCTCAACGTGTTTTATGAACATTGCGTTTTCTTCATTATCATTGTAATAGTCCTATACCAGTCAAACTGTCGGTCTATATCGCGATATCCAAGGTCTACTTCCACTGGTAATCTTTGTGGTAAAGCGGCTGCCAATGCCAAACCATCCGACGGCTCATTCGTAAGTGTAACAACTTCTTCATCGGCGTATGGTATATCTGATTCATTAATCTCCCATATACGTATGTTGCAGGCAAGAAAACTCTCTTTCCAAGAAGCGCGTGTGTTTTCAACTCCTCAATCACTCGCCATGATTTGTTTAGCACTAGTTTTTGTTTGTAATGAATTTCAGATTGCTCATCACATACAATTGCAGATATTTTTGGTGTAACTTGTAAAACTGTTTTGGTTCAACATTTACATAGCTGACCTCGGACCCAGTGATATTCGATGCAGAACTGTTTTAAACATACGGATTCAAGATGTTCAGGACGTGCCGCATAATGTTGTATCATCGATTTAGGAATAATTTCGTCTTCTTCTGAAGTGTCTACTGCAACCATAGTATAATCTTCTAATCCGATGAATATATTAGCGAATGTTCGTGAACAATGTTTGAGAGGCTCGCCAACTAATAGATGCATAACTTCGCAAGCACTTATATCTCTTTGTCCGACTAGCTTAATGAGTAATTTCGAAATCGATTTCTTGCTAGGATCATTTGAACTGCACGATTGTAGTATGGTTTGAAAAACTTGACGGTAGTCTTGAGACTGTGGTTCGCTTTTAGCAGCATATTTAGATAGATAGTTAATGATAGCTTGTTCAGAAACAATAACTTTACAATCAGTGTTCGATGTCCAGGTTTGAGCTACGAATATGTTGTGATCGTTCAATAGTTCGTCATTACGTTTCGGTGTGAAAACCCAGGTACCGGCCTCATCTTTTTGAAGCGTAGATTCAGTTTGAACTTGTTTCGGATAGTTGAAGCGGCAATCGCCTTGTCAATTTTTACAGTAAATGCTGTTGTATATGCTAATCTATTGTATGTTGTATTTTTGTATGATGATTAACACGATTCAAAAGCTCTGCTAGTTGAACTGGATTGTCGAGAGTGACTTCTGTACGTTTTAAACGAGACGGATGTTTTTCTGCTGGTGGCTGTGAAGGCAACGGATTTATCGCTGATACCAAATTATCGTAGAACTGGATATAGTGTTGAATTTGATCAAACGTTGCTGAGTCGAGTAGTCTAACATCTGGGGCGTTTGCAATCCAAATAATCATATGTACATGTGGTGATCCCCGGTATTGATATTCGTATCTAAACCAAAAGTCAACAATGTTTAGCTTCTGTTTCAATATTTTCATAAACAATTTCATGCGATTTGAAAAATACAGATCTGCTATGGGAGGGTTTTGATTCAGTTTCTTTTGCATCAATCGTCCTAGTTCACGTTCAGTCATTGCATCTGATTCTTCATCTGAAATTCCGTTGAGGCGAATAAGACACGGTCACCACAAATCAGCCGCACTAAGTGTCAGGAACACTGTTGGAACTCCTAGTTGATTAACCATTGACAAAAGCTCACACTGCTGTTTGAACCAATATGCTGATGTACCGTGTATTTTAGCTCCAAAAGCTAGAAGTTTCTTCAATATACTTGGCTGTTGATTTACTTTTTCAGTTAACTGTTGTATATTTTCAATGTTGCGGAGATCACTCGTTTTTGCTAAAACACCACTTTGACGGCAGGCGTCATGTCGTTGCATGGTATTTACACAAAAGAAACGAAAACGTGGATCAGTTGCGAAACGAGAATCTTAGAAATTGATCAAGTAATCAATCCATTCACGAAACGAAACTTTAATAGCGCGACTGAAGTCCAAAAAGTCATATTTACCATCTGGAAACAAATGTGGGACAGCGAGTGGTATGTAACCGGTTTGTCTAAACTCATTAATTGGCTCGGTTGACGCAGTCGGCCAGTTTAAAATTGATTGGACTGCGGCTTCTTGACCTAGTCTTGGGGCAAACGGAACTGCATTTTCTTCTATGTTTTCGGATTCAAGTGGCTGTTCAGAGACAGATCCTTCTTCAATGAATGGAAACTGATTTGCGATATTGCCATCAGCGGGTAAACTTGATATAATTTCTTCATTAATAGTTATGTCTGCGTATAATGGATTTATGAGTTGCAGGCAACGGAGTGGTTTAATGACAACATTTTTTTCTAACTCGAAAATCGGAATAGCCTTCCATACCAGCTCGACGTATAATAACGATACCCAGTTCTGCTGGAGCATGAGGTAGGGATTTTGCAGGTGGAATAATATCTTGAGCCACATTGATAATATTTCCAGAATAGTGGTATTGCCTAGAAGAGCCATACGCACGAACTTGGTAAATTCGCATGACAGGATGTACGCGGGCGATAAAAAGTTGTTCGACCATTGTTAGATTTTGTAGTTCAGGTGGAACCGTGCTTGGACGCATGTTGTTTGTAGATGAAAATTTTAAAGGATCTTTGATACAGGCTTTGCAGATATAGTTTACAGTCGTTTCGATGTATTCTTTTCGCTGATAATTTGTACATAAGCAATAGGATTTTTTGTCTAAGTTTTCTTGGAATGATTTTGCATATTTAACGTTATCATTTTGGTTTGGTCGAGTGTACATTGAATTTATACGATAATCTTCTTGTACAGCTTGTTGAATCATAGCGTTGTAGTTATCTCTTCTTCTATTCGCTGTTTGTCGGCTTATATTTGCTCCTTTTCTTAATCGAGGCATGTTTCAAGTATATTTGTTGTGAAATTATTGATTTATGCTGGATCTATGTTTCTATGGAAACTAAATTATGGTATCGAAATTAGTTTAAATTTAGGTTTTCAGTGATTATTCCTCGATGGTAGGTCGGACATCGATCAAAACCACTTGTTGGCACTCAGCGATGTCCACACTATCACCGTGCCAAGTTTGGTTCAGATCGGTTAATCCGTTGCAAAGAAGTATGCCGTTTAGTAAACGGCTATCCCGCGTATAAGAGCTTCGCCTCGCTCAGCTCAATTAAATATTTATGAGCGTTTGAAATTAAAATTTTTACAACATTGGATACTCACTCGATTTCTCATGTAGCAATTTCCTTATTTTGTTGTAATTCAAAAACGAATAACTGTAGATACATGGAAATTTCACTGAATGTTCAACTTAGCATTTCCTATACACTGTAAAATTTTGAAAATATTTTGACTCTTTTTGAGCTGCTTACAGACATTTTCAGTTTTCAATTTTTTTAGTTTTTTTTTCTATAAATATCAATAAAGTTTTATCTGTTGGACCAAAAAGTGTAAAAATTTAATACAAGGCTCCTGATATATTGTTACAATAGCAATTGAAAAATATTAAAAATACATAGGCACAATTTTATTTTATAAGCATTTAAAGTTGGAATTTTGACAAAATTTATCAAAATCTCGAAAATTATCAATCGTTGGAATTAATAAATTATAAAATGTTCTGTTTTTATAGCTAAGGATTGCAAATTTAAAACAAAGGTTCTCATAAATAGATTATACTGTAACCAAAAAATCTAAAAAATATATGAACACAGTTATTTTTTACAGACATTTTAAATTCAAATTTGGACGAAATTACATATTAAAATCAATATAAGCGATCTTGGTTTTTTGTTGTAATTTAAAAATATTATTCGGGGATATATGAAACTGAAAAATCAAAATATTATGGCCTATCCATACAATCTACCATAGTATAAGGAATAAGAAGTATGCTCAATGATAAGACTTTGCATATTTTAAGGGGCAATGAATAATTTATTCATAAATTCCATATAATTTAATAATATAGATAAGTATATAATATCTCTTATACCTAGACTGACATACCGTCTCGGCTCAGAATCGTTTTTTTTATACAATGATATTATATCATTGAATTCAAATTTAATACCATCCATTATACAGTGACCCACTTGTAACCTACTGTACAGCAGAGCATCTTTTTATATTTTATTAAACAAAATTATAACTCACCAACAAATATCATCAACATTTTGTAAGCAGCAAAATAACTGTATTGCACTTCATACCATTTAAATTTAAATCTCATAAATAAATATGTGACAGCATATTCACCTAAAACATTAAACAATATTAATTTCAACTGAAAATAATGTACTTTTCAGTTTATCATATCACTCATTCACTAATTCGAAGAGTTCAAATAAACTGTATGGAAATTATAACCATTTTTTATACTAAAAATAAAAATGTCCAGGATAACAACGAACAACACCTCAAAAGTTCTAAATATTTAATTTGTAGAGTTTTTATTCAAATTTAAAATGTGTACACTCAAAGTATGTCCTGCACATTTCCCTATAATACTGACTAGTTAGTTTTTCTTTGATAAACTCATTTACTATTGTAATTGTACAAAGTGGATAAGTGATTCAAAAGTCTTCATACAATTTCAAAAGTTCATATTTAATTTTATTAAAATTGATTACTATTATTGGTACCTATTATTTATTTTTTGTTCATAACTTATAATAATATATAGGTAAGTACCTAAAACTAATATAACTAATATGGCGCTATACACCGGACACACCGTTAATGATTATAATTTGTATAATATATTATATCAAAAAGTCGTTTTATTCAATCTTGTACATTTTACAACGTAAACAATAATAAGAATTTAAGACTAAATCAGAGATTGGCAAAATACTTTCAAAATAATATTAAAATAAAAAATGCATTTGATTTTAATGAGTAATTGCCAAGTTCTGAAGTACATGATACTATATGTAGATAGATACATTTGAATAAAAAGTACATAATTAAATAAAAATAAATTGTAAAATTATAAGTTTAAGTACCTATTTTCAATAAACTAATGGCTGTTTTTCAAAAGCCTAATTGTTTGGATTTTTCAGAAAACGTTGACCTAGTTTGAGTAATAAAATATTTATTCAATCGGTCCTAAGTCCTTTCATTGAGGTTATATTTATTTTCAAAATTAAGATCAAATAGCGAGGTGAAAAAAATAATATTTTTTAAATAATCTAGTTTCAATAAATTTAGTGTGTTTCAAATGTTCAATATAACCCCAATGGCAACCCGTCACACATCTATATTCTTTACTGTAGGTATTTTTTGTTCTTTGTTCATCTCGACAGAGACGGCTGTCCGCTAATCATTACAATACACGTTTATCAGTAACGAAAATAAAAATAAACTTGACTATCCGGTTATTTTTAAGCTAAACAAATTTGTAATTATACATATTTTATGCTATGCTTAAAAAATAAAAATAACTATTATTAGGTATATTCTATAATAATTAATAACTATAGTGGCTAAATATAGTAGGATGTATGACTTGTGAGCAATTCAATGTTGATTATTTCAAAACTTAAAAATTATAGGATCAAATGGATTTACTATAGTATAATATGTACTATTGATATTTATATATTTTCAAAATATTATTTAAATTATAGAATAACTTACCTCCAATTCTTCCCACTAAAACAGCTTGACACATTAGTAATGCTGCTAACGTAATTGAATAATTTTTACTGCTTCCTTTAAATACATTCAAATAATTTTGCATAAAATATTTTGGTTTGAGCCAAACAACATTTTTGTCGTAAGGCATAGAAGTGTCTTTGATAAATATTAAACCAATCGCAAAAGCGATTAAATTTAACGAAATAGGTACTAAAAATGCACCATAAAATCCTAGACCAACGTTTAAAAACCCAGCCAGTCCTGTTCCAATTAAAGTACTTATAGTGTAAATTGCATTTATGATTCCGTATTTTAATGTTCTGGATTCATTAGTACAATTATCTGATATATACGATATTACACCTACCCAGAACATATTTCGGGAACCGAATAACCCTGGTGTTGTGGCTTCAAAAAGCGCAGCGATTTGTGGAGACCAGTTCCAAAAATAAACATTTAAAATGCATAAACTATCAGTTAAGACTTGACCTACAAGTGGTATTAAAATCAATGGTCTCCGACGTCTGCCATGACTGTCACTCCATGGACCTGGAACGAAGTTTATTTATGTATTGACTAGCAACAATATTTACACATCGATTAGTATGTGAACAAAACAAATAATATATATATGTATATACAAATATACGAGTATGCCTACATTTATACATTATACATGCGTTATAAAAAGGTACCTAGTCAATATAATATTTGGATGAAAAGTTGATCTATAACTTACTGTATTATTTGGTATGTGCATATAATTTATAAATCTACCTTATACCTACAGTTTTACAATATACGTATTAGTTTATATAGGTATTTCAATTAGTTTTATTTTGGTTCTAGAAGTCTGGTATGTCATCAATTGGTATTTGGTACAATGTTATTAATATTATTTAAATAATATGTTTGGATACTTAATCTGTGTGGCACTGTGGCTGTGTAACAGGTTACCTATAGCTAAAGCACAATATAACCTTGTATGAAAATTTTAAAGTATTTTTTCATTTTAATTCAAATTGAGAAACCAATATCCATCAAATAATGTATTGAATACATTACCACGGACATATTGCAGACTGCTGTATAACTGTATAATAACTATTTATGTGTAAGTAGGTACCAAACATGAAACAATCAAACATAATAATATCTACTTTTTTTTTTAATGTGTTCCGTGAATAATTGGACGTTTTTTAAGATGAAAGGCTTCAGTCAAAAATTGATACTTTTTAGGAGACACAAAAAACGTTACTTATAACTTTGTAAATTGTTAATGTTTTTAAATTTTGTATTCATAATCATATTTAATAAGTGTTTTGTTATTTTACTATTAAATAGATTTTAGTATTTATTTATTTTCTTCAAATTTTAATGACTTATGACCTATTATGCATATTATACCTGTTTGACTTGAGCCCTTTATTTGCATCATAAAACTGCATACTAAACAAACCCAATATTAAATTGAAAAACGATGAATTTGTTAGTGGTTTTGAACTCAAACGCTAATTTCTGGTGACTACAACAGGTGACAGTAATTGCAGATAAGAAATAAACAACCATCGGATCTTCATTAGCATAGATAAGAAGGACATGTGTGATGATAACCGACATTAACAAATATTATGATAAATGAAATGTGATATTAACAAATATTACAATAATCATATTGCATTTTATTATAATATTACCTATTCAAGTACCTATTTATGACCTAACAATACCTACTATATACTACAGTAGTCTAGGTCAGAGCACAAAATCGTTTGAGTTTTTTATCGAACGAAGATATCGTATAGAATATATTCTAATGCATATTGGTGTCTGTCGTCGTTATTATCGGGCAACGATTGTGGTTATACCTAAACCTACTGCTTATAGTATTTGCATATTATGTATAGTGTATATTGTTACATATTATGTTACTATTGTTATTATTACCACTACCCCATGGCCCATACAATAGTATAAATTTATAATTATAATATTATCACGATGCTCCGCCGACTTACCCGCAAGTATGATTATCACGACCGGAATGGAGTACTGTATGGCCGCTTTCCACGAGTATATGGCGGACACGACGTGCTGGGCGTGCGCCTCGCCTTCGGTGCACTCGCCGAACGGCACGGACGAGTTGCACGCCTTCCGCAGCAACAGGTTGTTCTGGAAGAACGCGGACATGGACAGCGACACGGAATACAGGACCGTCACGGTTTCCAGGAAACACCCCATGGTGGCCTCGTCTGTCGTTCGTCCTGTGCGGCGGTCGCCGAGAGAGTAACCCTACCAGACCGGGTTACGCGGTGCACGTGTTCAGTGGCGGCGGCGGTGCCTCTCCGACCACTCGAATGAAACGATCGCTTATTGCCTACGATCTATTACAGTGCACGGCCGCCGGTTGTTATTACTTATTTGTCATCGTTCTGCGCAAACAACGGTAGTTGACTGCCATCGTCGTCGTCGTAGCCGGCAAAAGTTTTCCTCTCCCACCCGCACTCGATCTGCGTATTATGATTTATAATATTGTGATAAGTATGATATAGGTACCTAGCCTATATACAGGGCGATTCACTGAGCACGCTCACGATAATTTTTTACGTTAATAATGAACGAATAATGATACAGACTTTCTTTTTTCGTACTACAGTCATTTTATTTCCTAGTAAAGCAGATGACTTTTATCGGACAATGTTTTTAAATCGAAATTCAAACTAGTACTTTTTGAGTTATTTAACTTTGTGTACTAAGAGTAATACGTTTGAAAGATTTGGGGAATATGATGATTTAATAATTGTTGTAATAGTGTCCGTGTAAAATGAGTAACTTTGGTAGGTACTAGATGAAATATTACATCTATTTATATTTTTGAAAAATCATAATATTTACAATAAGATAACTCAGAAATAAATTATTACAATTTAGATTTGGATTCCATAAAATAAGAATTTAAATAAATTCATAATTTAAGAAAAATTTGGTGTGAATATGCTTGGTGATACGCCCTGTATATTAAAATATTTTTTTTACATCTGTAACATCGATAACTCGTCGTTATAATAATAGGTAATATCATGCAATTTGAACCACGCGTTACGATGATACGACGAGGGTAACACACATTATTCCCTCGACCCACAGCAGAGTGCAAGGGTGTCATTTGTGAAGCCTTTGCATACCTACTGTGCACGCTCTTTGTTTATTACAGATTTGTTGTTAACATGAATATTATAGACATTTTGATGGTTTCATATGTTTCAAAATTATATTTTATTTCTTTTTAGAAAATGTCGTTTTTCCTTACTTAAGTATATTTCTTGGACATTAGGTGTATAAGTATTATGATTTAATTCTCATAAATTCTCTATTAAATTTCCTTTTGTTAAATCATTTTAAATTTTAAAAAAAATATTAATTATCTTTTTGCGTTTGTGTGAACTTATTAGTTATTACTAGTTTTTAATTGATTTTATGACGTTTTAAATATATGTATAATATATTAATAAGTTTTCGTTGTACACAAACGAGTTGCACTGTTTAGTGTGTACTTAATACTTATTAGCTATTCCGTATTCGCGTAACACTATATTAAAATATTAAATACGTTGGTCTTTACCCTTTGGTATTATTCCTACAATCCTACCTAATATATTATTATTGTGCATAATATGGGTCCAGTGTAATAAAGACTAAGACAAACTTGACACCTTCATATCGATACCGCTGTTCCCACCCTCAGAGCTCCCAATAGTCATGGGTAAACGGGTGTTTTGTCTACGAATACGATGTTCCTACGTTTTAGGTGTTTTTTCCCTATCTGTAATATCGATATACAATATATGAGTCTAATCCCCAGGATATTGGACACCACATATGTTGCAACTACCAATAAAACGTACTGGTCATTTACTTACACCATTCTGTAGTTCTGTATATAATAATGTAACATTATCTCGTTTCGTAGTATATACACTAGTATAAAATCAAACGGCCACGAGGCCCACAATGTATTTTTTCAACACTGTTAGCAATATTATGATTTCTACATCATCGAATACTAGATAATGTTGCAGCTGCTGCTGAATCGACCTACCAAAAACACTGTTATCTATTCCGATTAATGTTTAATATATTTTGTTATCTATAATCCGTTACAGGTCAAACGTTTTTTTTTCGGAGCAAACACAAATCAAAAACCTAAATTATGGTGGGAAAAATTTTAAAAATATTTACAATAATATACCACATGTATATTATCAGGCTGGCCCATCAGTCATTTCTGATCTATCAACTGCAATAGTAATATTAGCAAGGTTATGAACTTAATGGTTTTGCATATTGATGAACTTAATTTATCAATCACAATAATTAGGTACCTATAATTACTAATAAGTGGTCTAAAAATGACCACTATAAATAAATATGTAGTTTTATTTTGATTACTTTAAAAAATTTAGTGCATAAAACAGCTAAAAAAAATTATGAATTTGGTGTCTTATATAAATATATAAAATAATAATTAAAAACATAAACAATTTATTAATTTTAACTAATATAAATATTATAAGCACAACTATTTAATTAAATTTTTGTTATTTTAAAATTTAGTGGTACTATTCAAGCCATAAACAAAATATTATATAGTAGTAATAATATAATTTATAAAACAAAATATGTTTACCAGACTAATTTTCTTTCACAAAGTAACACAAATTAAAGACATGTGAAATGTAAATGTTTACAATTAGCAGCACAAGTTTCAAATAATTGGCAACAATCATTAATTACAATTGAACAAATCAAAAACTATTTATTCGGTGAGAAATCAACGTCTTCGACAATACGCGTGTACGGTAATAATATTATAATATTATCACTGTTATCACTAATTGTAATTGCATATTGTACGTTATGGATCCGAGGGTTTTTTCCTACGATAAATACTTTATAGTTGTATATAGACGTATTATAACATGTTGAATGTATATTTTTATCATGTAGTAACTGAATTTTTACCACTTCCATCGTTCTACCAAACGATCAAACCGGATAAATCAGGAATAAATCTAGAAAACAACTATTAGGTAACAACGTCTACGGCATAACATGTTGCATCGTGGGACATTAATTATGTATTTATATATATTATGCATATATTATGTAGGTATACTGTTAGAGTACGTTTGTATTCGTAATATACGAAATATTATGAATGGCCTATATGAGATGCAACCTAATTGATTGCGTAATCGTGAAAGTTACCTACACAAAACTGTGTTAGTATGGCTTCGGATAGGTATAATCCAGGGGTCTCCAACCTAAGCTATGGCCCGCGGGCCTAATTCGGCCTGCCAAGGTTTTTTCACTGGCCCGCCAATCTAATTAATGTTTTGAAAATAATATATTTATTATTTTATTATATTATTTTCATTTAGTTTTCATTGTTTTTAATAAATTAATTGAATTAATTAGTTATTTTTTCTATTGGTGCTAACTGCTTATAATAGTAATTTATACGAAGAAACTAAGTTTACTAACACTAACTAATAATAGAAAAACTCGTTATAAAACGAAAAAGTTTATAAACAAACATTAATTTTTCTAAATAAATCTTCTCTATTCTTCAATTTCTTAACCGCTCTATTCCTCTAAAAATTTTGGCCCGCGATGTCAAAGCGTATCTTAAATTTGGCCCACCGTAAAAAAAGGTTAGAGACCCATGGTATAACCTATTGAGTACAGAGTAGGCTTATACTCAACGGTACACTCATGGCTTCCTACATACTCGGCTGTACGAACAGAAATAAAACAAGTTTTTTTTATAGAAATGGCTTTAAATATATACACCTTGAACCTACCTAGTTGTTAAGTAAAATATATTATGTAAATTATAATGATAATAAAATAATATGATACCATTTGCTTTTTGTTTAAGTTGAATTTTATATAGTGATTCTTGAATTTGATTTCTATGGTTATTTATGGTTATGTGCCAATGATTACTTGAGTACATTCTTATCGATTACATATCTATATTGTTAATTATTTACTACCTATTATGCACAAGCTTACATTTAAACCAATATCAAATAATAAGGTAGATATTAGTGACTAGGTACTGACGTACTGTTAATCTGTATTACTAGTTTTGATCTGTTTTGATTCTTTTCCTCGGAATGTACACCTCAAAAGATATAACAATTAATCTCCTTTCGAGACCAAAACACCACCTATTATTGGCTTTTAATACACAAAGAACAAGTAAAACAATCTAAAAATATGTAGCCATGTAGGTATATTAAATATTTAGTTGGAGCTTTACGAAGTTGATTTATATACCTATTTGTGGGTCTCTGGAATAAATTGAAAATATGATAGGTACTGTCGACAAAATCCATTGTTTCCACCAATTTACCAGATAAACTTGTATGCATATATCTTAATTGCTTATATTTTGACTTGCCATTCAACCATTGATCCACATAATATGACATTATTTTAGATAGTGTAGTTACTAGTTAAATAATGGAATAAAATTGTTCACAGTTGAATAAAATAGTCAATATATTGCATAAATACACATAATGTTCATTTTTTTTTTTATCGTAAGCCCGGCATCTATGGCCATTAGCTGTATTGGTTTTGTACATTTTAATGTCGGTAGGGGGGGACAATTGTGTATGTTAATTTTGTTAATTTTTAATAGCTAGTGTAATACAATTTATTATAGTCTTGACGCATAAGAGGTGCATGCAATTCAACGGCTATTATAAAACATCTGCATATGCTATTCCTTGGACTCCATGGCATTATTATTAGTTATTTATATCGTGTTTCCCATACTTTTTCACCTATACCAGAGGTCTTACAATTATTTAGCCATTTTAGCCAACACCCTCGTTGCTGTTTTTCGTAGGTGAATGTGGTTTTTGTAAATTCGGTAGCTAGATCATCATTCACATTGTGAGCAGCACTTCAATTGGACAATTAGTCATCTTGGGTGTATGAAGCCAATTAATATTTTTATATGGCTCGGAAAGGTTCAGTGGCTGAAATCAATGACACGACGTGATTTAGGGTAAGCAACTACTACTAGTTCCCGGATGGGTAACCACCCACCCGCGTTCATAGTGGCACAAACCTAGTGGACTTACCCCATATTAATCTCCATTAAAGATTTTTAACACAGTCATATAAAATAAAGGTCTAAAATTATATTATATCATAATAACTAT